AGTTCCCACAATGCACCTGGAAAAGAAAAATTAAGCAGACTATGAAATGAATGGCATGAGTTTTCACTGCAAATAATTATAGAATCCTGGATTCTGCTATGCCAGAGCTGGCAGGGGAAGAGACATGTCTGCACTGTCTGCCTCCCTTTTTGATTCCCAACAGTGGAAACGGAGACTCAGTGGGATGACCACTCAGCAGTGTGTGAGCTGCCTGGGGAAGTTCTCAGGCTTTGAAACCTCCTGGTGGATGAAAATACAGCATAAACTCATGAAGTCGTAGTTTAGAGTAAGGGCCTTTTTCATTCCTGACATTTTCTTTTAGAACCTAAGTTATATTTGTTGGCAGAAACTCTGTCCAATGTGTGGAAATCCCCAGTGTCCTCTGCAGGACTTTTTGCCCAGGAGGTTTGCAAAGAGGTAACATGAGAGCATCCTTTCGTTCTTCGAGCTGCTGCTGGGAGGCTGCGCTGTATCCCATCTCTGGCGCCAGCATTCCTGCATCGCAACCAGTTGCTGTAGAGCATGTAGCTCTCTCAAGCTTTCTCGGTTTTGCTCCTAAAGCCCCAGATCCCTAAGATGCCACCTAAGCCCCTTACAACTTCTAAGGGTTTCATAACACACCATCTAATTAAATGACATAGCTGTGGGAGACACAGCATAGGTAGGTTTGAAACATGGAAATAGACATTGTAGGTGTTGTTCTCACCTGATCTGAAATTCACAGCTTGTCACAAGTTCTGGGTGCTCTAGGAAGATAACACGATTAATTTTAGGGGTCTACTGTGCAGAAAACAGAAGCTGGTGGAGGTGGGACTTGAAAGGTAGGGGAGTAGTTTAGAAAGGGGAGAGCAGATCAATGAGCTCAACATAACAGGAAATGTTTGGAGAACACAGCCAGGGGAGGGGGTTACTTTGCGCTGGGGAAACTTGGGGAGAAGGTGTTACTGAATTCCAGTCTCCATAAGTGTCTTCTGTGTGGCTTTGGCCAAATTGTTCAAACTCAGATTGTGTCATTTGGGAATGGGGCTCACAACTGTATCTGTTCCTCATTCATTCTTTGAGGGAAGTTCCACTGTGACTTCCTGCGTGGACTGAGGATTCTGGGTGAAGGGTCGCGGGGAGTCTGTCCAGACTCCTGAGCATCTGTGCTTGTGCGGCGTTCCCCGCGCCGCCCTCTTCCCTGTCTCTCCAGGGAATCTGGGGAGGATCTGTCTCCTGTTACTGCCCGCCCCACCCCCACCCTGAGCATCACCTTGTCCTGCTGGTCCGTGCTGCAGAGATAAATGAGTCACCACCGCTGTGACACCAGCTTTCTACATCCCCCAGGACACCTCCTGCTCTGCCCCCGGCCTCACTCACCCTTTCCCGGAGGATCCTCCCTCACCCACACTCACTGCCCAGCGAGGGCCATGAGGCTCTCAGGCTTTCGACTTCAGAGAGGCAGGGGGAGGGGCCAGGGCTGAGGGTAGAACCCACAGGGGGAGGGGAGCGATGGACCAGAGAGGACTGAGCCTCCCGGGGAGGGGGAGGCTGAGGAGAGTGGAGAGTGAGGGACCAGAATGACTTCCTGTCCTCACCACCGTGTCTGCTGCCTGTCCTCAGGGAGCTGTGTGGCCCTGGGTGGATGACTGAGCCTCCCTCAGTGCCCTTCCCAGGAAGTCAAGAGGGTGTGTTAGCGCCTCCCTCCGTAGCACACGGACCTGTGAATCCAGTGCCAGAACTGACTTCAGCAACCCCTGGTGTTCCCCTGGGAACTGACTGATGTCAACCAGGTGTGGTGGCCACATCTCTATTCCAAGAACTCTGGAGGTGAGGATGGAGGGTCACTGGGAATTCAAGGCCAGCCTGGGCTAGGCTATATAGGGAGTTTAAGGCTAGCCCAGCTACAAACAATAAGCCAACCAAAGCATAAAATCATTAAGTTTCCTGACATCTTGCTCTGAGGACTTATTGTGAGGCCAACCCTGAAATCTCACTGCAGTGCCCGAGTCCATGCTGTTGTGACCAACTCCCCTTCATTGCAATCTCTCACAGATACAGCTGATAAAGATTATCTGTTTATGACACACTTCCAGGTCCACAGGAACACAGTCCCCTCTCTGCCTTCCTCCCGGGTCATGGCCACTGCGTGCAGCACTAAAGATGTCTAGTGAGCAACAGTGAAATCCACGTAGCAAAGTCATAGAGCACTTTCAAGTTAGGGTGGAAAATTCTGAGAGATAGATTCCCATATATGCTTCTCCCATGAGAGAAATTTTCCATTTAGGGATGCAGAAGGGCATAAAATAGACCCACCTTTTTGTTTTCATTTGTTTGTTTTATCTTTTTGGGACAGGGTCTCACTAGGCAGTTCAGGCTGGCCTTGAGCTCACTTTGTAGCCCAGGCTGGCCTGGAACTCACAGCGTCCTCTTGCCTCAGCCTCCCCATTGCTGGGATTAAAAGCATGCACCACCACACTCGGCCATTTGGTTTGTTTTTGTGAGACAGAGTCTTAACATATAGCTCAGTCTGGCATTGAACTCACTATGTAGACATGGCTAGCCTCAAACTCATGGTAATTCTCCTGCCTCACTCTCCTGAGTAATATGTTTATAGGAATGTTCCACTACTGGGGACTGACACTCTTAAAAAATATCGCATAGAATGTTTCTGCCCATGTGATCCACATGCCTGTAATCCCAGCACTTTAGGGAGGCTAAAGCAGGAGGATTGTTGGGAGGTAGAGACCAGCCTGGGCTACACACTGAGCTCAAGGCCAGCCTGCACTGCACAGTGAGACCCTGCCTCAAAAAGACAAATAAATTTCAGAATGTTTTTCAGCTTTGTAGGAAAAGGAACATCTAACTAATCCATTCATCACAAAGTTGATGCCAACTTTAAGGACTAGAAGAAAATGTATTTTAAAACCTATAAACAGGAGTGGTGGTGCCTGGACTTTTTTCCACCACCTATGAAGCTATTTCTGGCTGAGAACTTCCAGCCCAGCCTAGGGAACTTGGTGACTTTGTGAGACAAAAAAATTTGAAATGGAAGGAATTTTGTATCTACCTAAGGCAACATGTTGGCAGAACCTTCTCCTGAGACCCGCCCAAAGTGATAGCTGTGCATGTAATGAAATTTGTAAATATTAAAATCTAAGCTCCCATGTGTTCATCAGAATCTACACAAAAAGGAACACTGACGGCATCTCAGGCTTCGGGTCACAGGGGAGACTGGCTGAGGGCCAATGGCATGCATGTGCTCGGGACGGTGGTGACTCACCAGGGCTGGAAGTGGCGGCGTGCTCCCAGCTTCCCAGGAATCCAGGCAGTGACTCCAGGCTCCAGGATCCTGGCTGGCTCCTCAGAGGCTTTTATTGACTCCTGATCCTGTCTCCCTTTTCAGACAGTGTTTTCAGATCAGGGTTGATTCGGAACCTCCACCCAGTTAGTCATGTCTGCTTCTCACCTTTCTCCAGGTGAATACAGAGAGAGGATGAAAAGTGCCTTTTGAGAGCCAGGCGTGGTGGTGCACGCCTGTAATCCCAGCACTCTGGTGACTGAGGAAGTAGGATCGTTGTCAGTTCGAGGCCAGCCTGGCCTACAAACTGAACTTCAGGCCTGACCGAAAAAAAGAAAAGAAAAGTCCCTTTTGGACAGTTAAGACCTTTTTTTTTGTCTTTTTGAGCCAGAGTCTGCCTATGCCATTCAGGCTGGTCTTGAGCTTACTTTGTAGCTCAGGCTGGTCTTGAACTTGCAGCAATCCTCCAGCCTCAGCTGTCAGAGTGCTGGGATTACAGGCGTAATCCACCACACCTGGCTGGAACCTTAAGACCTAAGAAGGG